GGGAAACATTCTGAAACTGCGTTCAACAAATTATGCCTTCTTCGGATGTGTTGCATTGTCTCATCGGGACACACCACTGTAGCATAGGACCGGCGAAAGTGTGGCTGGTAGCGTTGAGTAGCTCGACTGTGTGTTGCTGCGATCTCAAGGCGGTGGCGAGAAGCACTGCGCGAAGTGTTCATCATCATCTTGGTCATCGTAAGCAGTTGTGATGGTGCGCGTTCTGGAGGGAGCTGCGGGATATTGTTGCAGATTGTCTCAGTGCAGGGGCTCCGAGGTTGGGGAGGCAAAGTATCGAATCCTCTCTTCTTGGCTTGTCCGTCATCGGATCGATATGGAAAAGCAGTGTGTCTGTGTGTGTATGTTGCCTTAAAACTTCCGTGAAAATACTTTACAAACATGGGAAGCTGCTGGCATCGGTTTCCTCGCTTTGCTGCCTCCTTCTCCAAATGTTGTTTGTCCACGGCTTCCTCTTCTTTTTTATTTGAAATGCACCCGATCACTGTATTATTGGCGTTGCGCATTAGCAAAAGTTGCGAGCACTTCCTCCCACCTCCTGCAATTTGATTCCCTCTTTGTGGTGCCTTGCGTTTTCCACTGTTTGCGTTGCAGATGTTTTCAGGAAAATATTCATCCCGTAGGAAAAATCTCCTTCTTTTCTGTTTCATCTTAAGCCTTACATTCAAAACAGAATTTCAAAATTTCTGTAACTAATTATTCCTGTTCGCTTCATCAGTAACTGAATCATTTTGTACACGCGAAATAGTAGAATAAAAGATAGGGCTCATGTGCAAGATGTATCTGGATGCAGTATCTACTTCATCCCTTAGCTGTAAACACGGACTGAACTATTCTGGAGATAATGGCCTTTCATTCCTGAAGTAGTGAACTTCCAGTAAAAAAGGGATCTGGTAGATCCTGCCGGAAATGAGTCCGTTTGCCAAAGAATGGTGCTATCTTTTGTACTCAGCTGTTTTAGATATAGCATTTTTACACTTTGGCTGATAAAATTAGCATCTCTCAGCCCATTTTCATAATTGTTGGCAATTTGCACATGATTAAGCTCACTTTTAACCGGATTTTTGCATCTAGTCCGCCAAATTTATGCGCTTATTGGGCGGAATTTTCTCTCCTGGCAATTTTTGCTTTTTTTTTTGTTAGTAATTTTGTCGCTGTGACCAATTTTTACGCCCTTTCCCCCTCCTCCTCCCCCC